ACGCAGAGAAGGCTGTAACTCGAGTCCGCCTCTCCATTGTTAAACTGCAGTAAGTGAACTTAAAAGTTAACATATGAGATCGTACAATAAGGTCAAAATTGAGCGTTTTCCTCATTTTTCTGTAATGCCTTGTTTATAGCTGAATTGATGTCATTTGCGTGTTCCAGTGCCATTCAATAGCCATACTCCCTGCAGGGAATCTCAGTCACCGTTAGCTGAACGGAGCTAGATCCACTGAGATCGTTATCACTGTTTCCCTTAACTGCTGCACGAAGCTGCTATTTTGAATTAAGTTAAATTGAACTCTGAACGAACTGAGAGTTTAAGCGCCACATCGCAAAACCAACCAAAAGTGGTGTTGTTATTTGTACAGTGTTGAAATGCGCCGACATTTCATATAACATGCTTAACTGTACTTGCAATGCAACGATTCACATGCTAGCCCACTAGAGCTTGTTTTGGTTGCCATAGTTACGATCGTGACACGGAAGTCTTAACCTACTTCCGAAGCAACTCTGAAATGCGCACGCGCAGCACAGCGACGCTATTGTAAACAAACCCCACGGTGTTGCTAAGCTAACGAAACGGTGGTGTTTACATTGAAGTCTATGCTAAAGCCATTAGCCTCAAAGGTTAGCAGTTAGCATTAACATCCAGTGGTTGAATGCAGTGTCTGTTTGGGCAACGAGAAAGTGATTTAACCCTTTAAACATCTCAACTAATACACCTGTTGGTCTCTTTCTCTCTCTTATTCCTCCCTTTTCTCACTTCTTACCACTTTATCTTATTTTACTAGAAAGGGAAATACTGACTCACAATTATTAATTGTGCCAAATCCAAATTTAATTAAACATTAAATTTATTTGGAATCATGCAAATTTCCCCCTCAGATCATTTCATATGATCATTATTTCTAGTATTCCCTCTTATGCCTAATCATCTTAGGTACGAATAAGCCTTGAACTTTAAAGTTTAATAAACTTATTCTACCTAATTGATTTTATTACCTATCAATAAATTCTATTCAGACTTATACTTACTCATTATTTTATTGCGTTTTACCCCTTTTCTTCCTGTTTGGTTATACACTTAGCCATTATTGTTTTATTTACTGATTTCCTTCTTTGTTTAATTTCATTTTTACTTATTTTGCCCATTTATTACCTTTTAATTTTACTTTACTTACCATTCTCTTTCCTCTGTATATCCTAGCTTGGCAACGACACACCTGAGCCCTAATAGGAGACAGTGTTATCCCTCACTACGAGTTCAAATAAATTAGAAAGACAACTTTCTTTCACTCAAATTTTATTTTTGTTTGATTAGTTGTGCAGCAACTAAGAACAAACCCCATCAATAAATTCTATTCAGACTTATACTTACTCATTATTTTATTGCGTTTCACCCCTTTTCTTCCTCTTTGGTTATACACTTAGCCATTATTGTTTTATTTATTGATTTTCTTCTTTATTTAATTTAATTTTTACTTATTTTGCCCATTTATTACCTTTTAATTTTACTTTACTTACCATTCTCTTTCCTCTGTATATCCTAGCTTGGGAACGACACAACTGAGCCCCTAATAGGAGACATTGTTATCCCTCACTACGAGTTCAAAGAAATTAGAAAGACAACTCTCTTTCACTCAAATTTTATTTTTGTTTGACTAGTTGTGCAGCAACTAAGAACAACACTCTACTCGTAGTTGGGCATAACAGCAACAAAGCCTGCTAGTGGACCCGACAATTCTATGTGAATAATCTTGTCGAAGAAGACGAATCATCCTTATGAATTTGATTGTAATCAACCCCTCCTTCCCCTCCTCTAACCTCCCTACATTTGGAAACGCAATCCAAATTTTAGCATCTCATCCAACGCTGAGATCAATTTAATAGAGATAAGTGTTGAACAACTGTCGCCTTCGCAGCCTCCCTGGTGAGCGGCCCAACTGTAAGGTGTACGGTGTCAATCCTGTCAGACTAAGAAAAGAGATATCAACATTATTATTGCATTCTTTTGTCTAAAACAGAGATTTAATAATATTGTTTACCTTCTTGATAACCACATTCAATTGAAAAAAAATAAAAAATAATTATTTTCTCTAAACCGAAAAGGAATTGTTTCTTTTCATTGAATTGTTTTCACCTTTTTCTCTCTTTTTCCTCTTCCCCATTAGAAGTGATGAAGTCTTCGCATCCCTAGTCTACTTAGACACCCCGAGACCAACACAATCATCACCACACTTCACTAGTGGGTCACAATCACTGACTCCACACTTAGTTGTCCCACCACACATAGGCTTCTACTCCACACAGATCTGTGTCAGTCTCTCTTCTCCCCAGCGTGCCAACATGCCGCAGACTGCAGACCCCATTGCCCATGGGGAAGATGTGAACACTTGGCTGAGAGGCATGACAGACAGCCTCACCCCCAAGACATTTGAACTGTTATTATTTTTAATAATAATCCTAATCCTGAGAAGATTCCTGACACAAGATTCAAGCCAGAACAACAACCACGAGGAGCTAGTCAAAATCACCAGCTCCCTAAGCTACGCCTTCACAACCCAGCTGAAACTGAGCGACAAGCACATCACCCACCTTCAAGAGGAGCTGACACGTGCTCAACGCCGCATAGACAAGCTGGAAGTGAAAGTTCAAGATCAACTCAAAGCACCCAACGAGAAGGAGCAGGAAACAACAGAACAAGTTAAGAAGCTCCAAGCAGCCCTGGCAGCAGCGCAGCTCGACCAACAACATTCAAAGGCTGTCCAGAAAGACCTGGTAAACAGACTCCAGTATGCCGAACAGCTACTAGAGAAAGCCAAGAATGACATCAGAAACAAGAATGTTGAAATCAGTACCTTGAAAGACCACCTTGAAAGGTATAGAACTGAAATGGACAATCTGACCCAACAACTAGACGATACCAACGATGAGCTCTACATGGTCAGAAAAGAACTCAAAGATGCTTATGAGCTGAAACAAGAGCCAAGAAAAGAGAAGCATCTCTCAGCCTCACCACTGCTGAGCAGAGCAGAGTCCCACGTCCAAGAACTGGCATATGACGAAAGGCGCGAAGGGCCACAACCCAAAACCTCACCTGCCTTCGCCACACAACCCTTTCCTGCCAACGAAAGAATACCTCCCATCCAAGCAGACCTTGGAGCTGCACATGGGATGACCATCAAAGACCTCAACAAGCTGTCTAAAAACATCAGCAAGTTCAACCCAAACTCCGCAGAGGGCCACGACATCCAGGCTTACCTGCAAGATATCGAATTTCATCTGGAAATGAGACCTCATGTGACTGACAGAGACAGGTTATACCTCCTAAGAGCCACGTCAAGTCCTGAGGTACGAAACTTCCTAGATCGACAGCCCAGTCAAACAAAGTCAAGCTACCAGCTACTTCGTGAGGTCCTGATTAAAGAGTTTACAGACCCTGAGTCTGAACATGGACTGTTAACTGCCTTGGAGATCAAACAAGGTCGACAAGAGGTTCCACAAGCTTACTACAACCGACTCCGTCAAGCCTACTTTGGTGCACACAACGAACCTGACCTTGAAGAGGATGTGAACTTCAAAAGCCTCTTTGTAAGAAATCTGCACCCTGGAGTCAGCCACCATCTTGGCGTCATGGCCTGTCCACGCTCCATGACCATCCAACAGTTGCGTGACCTAACACAGAAGGCCTACAACAAGCAGAAGATGGCCTCAAAGAAAGGTAACAAAACATCCACACTCTTGAACTCTGTAACCAAAGACTCAAGCCTTGCACTGGACGACACCCAGTGGCATCACGACACCAGAGTCTTCCATCAAGAGCACAGAGAACGTGACCCCCATGTCCACGACAGCTTTCAGCCCAGCCACTGGAAAAATCCATGGGAACAGCCACGCTTCTCAAGAAACCCAAAAGATAAGAACAACTGGAAACCTAACCAGACATCCAAAGGTAATCGCCTGACTCATCCAAGAGCAACTCGTGTGGGTAAGCGACAACAAAACCCACCTCAGCACCACTCAGACATGCACAGTGCTGAGTATGCACAAGAACAAGACAGCTTACCATCAGACGACATGGAACAAGTCATGAGACAAATGAAAGAGTTCCTTCAAGGAAAGCTGAACATGGATGACCACAAAGTTGAGTCATGCTCGCTGTGACCAGCGACAGAACGGAAGGCCGGTGATCACCTGGTACACCACATCAGAGATGACAAGCACCTGTTCAACAACCACCCAGAACGAGCAAGTCTCTCACGGCCAACGGTTGATGAAAACTCTGAGGTACCAAAGAACATCACCTCAGTCACCCACCGCTCACTAACAAACTGTCAAGTTAACTCCAACTCCAAGAACCACATTCCTGTCTGTGTAGCAGCAACCACCCAAGCACAGAAGGTCAGAAAGTCTGCCACAACCAGAAGGCATCACAAGAGAAATGCAATGTAGGAGACAAAGTTTGCACCCCAGCTTCACACAGCCATGCCAAACTAGCTCCGACTGTCTGCTAAAGAACTTCCTGCCTTGCTGGACTGACCCCCATTAGATCATGGACATGCCCTCATCCAAGCCAAGGATGCAGAGAGCCAGTCTTCACTGACATACAAGAAAAGGGGGGAGACAACACAGACTGAAACAGATCTGACCACACATACACTACACCATTAACACACACAACATTACCTAAACACAGAGGTAACCACATCTACTGATAACACAGTCAACAAACATTTTCTTCCCACAAGTAGAATATCCAAATTTTAGCGTAACATAAAGTTACATATGCCCACCATGAAGAAACATGCAGCCATCCTCACAATAGGTAGAACACCTGACACTAAGTTAAGGTACATGACACACTAGCTGCACGTGACATCCTAGCTCAACAGTAGTTGTAAGCCATGCTAGGAAAATCCACAGCAGCTTTGTTTTGTTTTGTTTTGTTCTTCTTTTACCTATCCTGATCCTAGTGCCAGCCAGTCTGAAGCAAGTCAAACCAACCAACCCTTTCACAGAACAGCTTTCAACATTAACACAGAAGAACACACTGATCATAACATCTCAGGAATGAGATTGTCAATTTTGGGGCAAGTAAGCAAGATTAATGGTCAAAGAGATGCACAGCATGACCATCATGTAAACCAGTGATAGTAATCACGATCACGAGCTCTTTGGATTGACTTTCCCCCCACCTAGAAGACAAAGAACAGACTGAGATTCCTTATGAGACCTCTCAACCTCTG